GCCCCGCATGTTGGCACGCAGGTTTCGCGAGCGTACGGTGGACAGGTCGATCGGTATGCCAGTCACGCGGCAGCGCCGCACGCGCGTGTCGAATGATAAAGAGTTCAACACCTCCTACCTGATGGGGGAAAAAACAAGCGCTGAAATATTGAAGAGTGAAATTTAAATGCGGAACAGCTGTCTGCTGCAGGGCGGTGGTATGAATGAGTGATGACGCGTGTGAAGGCGGTGGATACAACGCCCGAGCTGTTGTTTTCTATTAGTATATATTACTATGAGCAGTTGGGCACACTAGCATCTATTACTTTCCCGGCTTGTTGACAATGACTGTGTTATGATATAGCCATCAACAAAATTATTATCAGGAAAATTGAAATTAAAAAGGAAAACGAGGTCTTCTACTGCTTGTCGAAATTTTGTGATTGTCTTTTGTCTAAATGTAAAAACGTCCACGTATCTGCGTTTGGCTGGCTCATACGCTTGGGAGAATGTAACGTGGAAAATGCACTTATGACTCGTTTGTATTAGCAGTCTCGTTCATTTAGGAGTTATTGCCCTGCTACTCGAACAGTAATTAACTACAGAGCTATTAGTTTCAGACGGGTCACTTCTAGTACTTCCACACTCACTGGGCCTTGCTTGGCCTCCGTTAAACGGTCATAAGACCTCAGACCGTGTATTGGCAACTGCATTGTCGTTAATCTCGCAGTCTGGTCCGCCTAGGCCTGGCCCAGAGCGAGAGGAGTGAATCGACAGTGCCACATATAATATATCATGTCGTTACTTTATGTTACGTGTCGGGGAAAACGATGCGCTTGTTTTTGCAAAATCCTCCACTGTATCTCGAGGGAATAATTCCAAGGCGTTTGTTGTTCGTTGAAAATCATACGTTTGTCCGTATCCTACAGTTTCCCAGCTACGTGACACCAGTACTATCTAAACTAGGTATTAAAATTAGTAGTTTACTCTATTAGATTTCCCATCCATGTTGACGAAAAACCCTTTGTTGCTACGAAGAATGACCCTCCCATACAATGGCGTTTCGTCTCTGTTCTAGTTGTTGAACAACAAGGCGGACATCAATGCTATTAACGAGCATGGCAACACGCCCTTGCACTACGCATGCTTCTGGGGTCAGGACCAGGTCGCCGAGGTAAGCCGTGTCAAAAAAAAACAGCACCAGCACTGTAAGTGGACCACGCAATTGGAGTGCAAATATTGACGGGTCACTTTTCCAACAGCATTCTTTTGCGTGATGCTCTCTGTGTCAGTATCGTGAAGAGAGTGGTCTTTTTATTATGCATCCGCTATTTTACTACCGACAGCACGGTGAAGCATCACAGCACGGTCACAAGTGCAAAATCGGCCATAAACCCAATTGCGAAAAAAAAAATCGAGTTAGTGATTTATTGTGCGCGTGTGTTTGTGCGCGAGCGTAAAGTTTCACAAACGTTTGCATTTTTTTGCGGCTTGTTTATTTGAACAGGACCTGGTCGCCAATGGCTCCCTGGTGTCTCTGCAAAACAAGTATGGCGAGACACCGCTGGATAAGTCTCGCTACCCGCTGGCCAAGCGGTTACAAGGTGAGGTTGCCCAGTGTGTCTCGTCTGCCAGGCAGAGAAGCAGATCATCGGCTGACAACCAATGTGTCGGTGGGATGCTGAGTGGGAAAAAACTCGGGGGCAAAAACCAGATGGAACTATGAGGGAACACCAAATGTGTCCTTTACAGATGGGTGGCTGTTCTATAGACGTAGTTCTACTGCGTAACTGCCACTTGAAAGAAATGCTAAACGTGTTCATCATAGACAGGTGTCCATTCCATTGAGGTGGTTTCACTGTATAAATGCTACTCGTGGGAGATGTCAGAAGCGTCCTTTATATGCAGGTGTTCGTTCTTTAGGAGTGAGTGCTAACGCAGGTTTGCCTGCAACCCTACTTCATGTTTTGAGGGTCATATTAGGGAGGAGCATAACAAAGAGATTTAAATTGATTCATCATGAGGCAGGACAGGTTCAGTAGAGCGTGCTGAAGGCGCCACCTGTCACCTGTCATGTAGACTTAGAAGCAAATGGACGATGTGGCCTCTGGTGCCAGCAGTTGCTGCAGATGAAGGAACCTATATTTTATAGCATAGCAGTGCTTCCGTGTGGTTTCAGCTTACAAGTGTTAAAACGTAGGTTTCATGACAAGCTAGAAAGAGAGAAAGGGAGAGGTTAATGAATATAATGAATAGAGGGAAGTCCCCACATAGTGGGAAGCTACCTCATAGAAACTTCACGATCTTTGCTACATGACCATCTCCATGCCTTGTAGAAGAAAGCCATCGTATCGGTGCTTGATGTTGCAGACAAGGCAACGCAGATGGGTCAGGAATTGAATAAGATTCCCTACAAGGACCAGTCGTGGCGCGGCTACAAGACGCGCAGCCGCGACGCCACGCTGTCACGCTACTCCGGAATCGACATCAACCAGCTAAACCTACAAGTTCGCATCGCAAGCAGCCACTCTGGAGACGTAAGTCACACCCACTGATATATATATATGTATATATTTATTTATATATTTTTATATATTTATATAATAACTGGCTTTTCAACTTTGTCCAATCGATATGAAAGTGGAATGTGGTGGTGAAGATCTGTGTCAATCAATGTGACTCTGTCTGCCTCAGCATGCTGAAGAAGAAAACATTTTGCGACCGAATTGTGTAATTACTTCGACTATAACATTTAATTAAAACTTCAACAGCATGCACAACAAGAAAGCAATTTACCATCAATGGAATCATGAGATATATTGTCGATTACTTTGAATATAAAATGTAATTAAATGCTTGCTGGTCGTGTTGTTGCATGCAGCTGTGGCGAGGGACCTGGCAGAGCAATGACATTGTCGCCCGCGTGCTCAACATACGTGAGGTCACGCAGAGAATCTCACGCGACTTCGCCGAGGAGTATCCCAGACTCAGGTGAGAAACTGTGACTCAGCTAGCAAACTGTGACTCGGCTGGAAAAACTGTGACTCAACTGGCAAACTGTGACACAGCTGGCAAACCGTGACTCAGCTGGCAAACTGTGACTCAACTAGCAAACTGTGACTCAACTAGCAAATTGTGACTTGGCTAACAAACTGTGACTCAACTACTTGGCTAATAAACTGTGACGTAGCTAACAACCTGTGACTTGGCTAGCAAACTGTGACTTGGCTAACAAACTGTGACTCAGCTAACAAGCTGTGACTCAGCTAGCAAACTGTGGCCCTGGTTACAAACTGTGACTTGGATAATAATCTGTAATTCTTTTTCTCATCGACTGAACCTCTAATAGTAATACACTCCTCATTAGAAACTCGTAACTTTACCACGTTTAATTCAGTGGTCTACAAGAAAAAGTTAATGTTACGACTAACGTTTAAACTGGCCCGAGGCTAAGGCTGGGCAATTCACAACGGAACGCTAATGCGGGCAATCACTGGGAATGGTCACGCCACTTCTGGGGACAGTATTGTCGGGCAGACTGTGTTTAATTCCAATAACCATTTCCGCGGGTATTGCCGCGCCGATGCTAGGCAGTCGTGCGATGTGTTACTTGAGGCGTGGCATGGACTGGCTAATATCGCGTCGAGATGCGGTACAGTCGGGCGTGGGCGTGTAATGAAACCCAGTATGTCGCTATTTTTTGTCGGTGGCTAGCGTGAATAATCGCGTGTTCGTGACGCAAGTGGTAGCTACCATTGCATGTTAATGCCCGCACAGGTCTTTCACATTTTCAAGGGCTTTGGGGAGGGACACCATGGCTTTTTTTGCGATCAGTGTTCGGGTCAGAGTTATAAGTAAACACGTGTAACTTTGCAACATTCATCGGCGATGGTTATCATGAGAAATTATGCACGTGGTCCTCCTAAATAACAGGATGCAGCTGCCAGTAATCCTCTTTTTTTCTGCTTGTTCTTATTCCCGTTCATGTGCTTCTTATTCTTCTATACAACTGTTAAACGACTACTGCCATGTCAAAGTACTGTTGCATTTTCCGCGCATGAAATTCTGACTGGTCAAATGAAAATTTAATGGGACGTGGAAATTCACATGCAGAGTAGATTAAAACACCGTTTTCGAAACATTAGGGATGCGCCTCGATGCGTGCGTGTTCCCGCGGATAGGGTTGGTTTCAGTTCGCATCTCACGACTCCTTGGCGGCGGCTGGCTACTCTCGGCCGACGATGAGTAATTGCCCGCGTGTGATGCACGGCGGAACCAGCCGTCGATTAATAAATTACAAATGCGTACGTTTCGTGGTCGGCAGGGTTTTCTCGCACCCGAACGTGCTTCCAGTGCTGGGCTGCAGCAACCAACCGCCGAACCTGGTGTGCATCAGCCAGTACCAGCCGTACGGCTCCCTCTACAATCTGCTGCACGAGTCCACGAGTAAGTCTGCCCGATAGTCCACCCTCACTGCATTTATTTATTTGTTTGCCATGACTTGGTGTTTCGGGAGCGGGTCAGTGAGTAGATGAATTTATAGTATATATACATAGTTTCAAGATAGTTTACATATTTAGTATATATATAGTATACATAATTTATAGTATATATAGTTTATCGTGTCGGTTACCGCGCAAAAAGTAAACGTCCGTTATAGGTAACCTGTAAATTTGTTTCAGTTGGCATGAGTTATAGGCAAATGTCGAGGGCGTGCGTGCGTGCGTGTGCGTGTGAGTGCGTGTGTACGTGTGCGTGTGTGCGTGTGAGTGCGTGCGTGCGCACGTGTGATATGGTAGAGTAGGTATCATCTTACCACTGCATCTTTAACTCTGCAGGTGTGGTGGTGGACCACGCGCAGGCGTTGAAGTTTGCGGTGGACCTTGCGCGTGGCATGGCATACTTGCACACGCTGGAACCTCTGATTCCGCACTACTATCTCTCCAGTAAACACATCATGGTAAGTGAAATACAAGCTGTTACATGGAGCGCGTGAGAAATGTGTTGCACATTTGCTAGGTGATGAAAGTGGAAAAAACTAGATGCTATTAAAAGATACGTCCCGTAAACTTTCTTCTCTTTTCCTCCACTTCAGCTACCATTACATATGTATCGCCGTTAGCGTTACAATTATCTATCATCTAAACGAGATAACCACGCCCACTTGGATATTGTCGTTAGATCAGTCACGCTTGCATGTCTTCACACCAAAATGCCAGCTTTGTAGCACTTCGGTACTATAGACAGTTTTCGCGTGCACGTATCGGCTAGAGCTGCCTGTCAATTGCACTGGGAGGTTGAATGCATTTAGCCATAAAAATATACATATACATACAATACATATATAGAGACATACATAGAGAGTCTACCTATATTAGTTCTATGCATTTAGCAATGGTGATTTTGTTTCTATCCCCGACGCCGTCAGATTGACGAGGACCTGACGGCGCGAGTGAACATGGCCGACGCCAAGTTCACCTTCCAGGAGCGCGGCAAGCTGTACTCGCCGGCGTGGATGGCTCCCGAGGCTCTGCAGAAGAAGCAGGACGACATCAACGTGCGCGCCTCTGACATGTGGAGCTTCGCGATCCTGCTCTGGGAGCTGGCAACGCGCGAGGTGCCTTTCTCAGACATGAGTCCGATGGAGATCGGAATGAAGGTGAGGACGAGAGTCCGGGGGCCGCCGGGAGGGAAACGTTCGCTTTCGTTTCATCGTTTCGTTTGCGATTTCGATTGCTATTTTGTGTTTCGTTGCTTTGTTTGCTGTTTCCATGCAGTAGGTACTGCACAAAATTATTCTGAGTATTACTGCGAGTCTTTACTGAGAGTACTTAGCGAAATTTAGTGTAGTTAAACTAGAGACGTGCATATATCTACTTGGAAGCTGAATAGAGGCTACTAGTGAGCAATCTTATCTCGAATAATACCGTTCTTGTCTGGAAGCATAATGTCTATCTTGGAATAGTGTCATCGGATATGATTTTATCATGTGACATTATTTTACTTTGAGACGAATATAAATAATCCACTGGAGCAGCGAAGGCATTTTAACATAGACAGGAAATCAGCTGCCGACAATGTCACTCTTGTCCACTAATTCGCATTTATCTCAAAATTACAATATTTTAAATATGCCTTATCTTGTCTATGCTGGGATGGTGGTGGTAATTTCTCTCTCTCTCTCTCTTTCTCATTTTCCGGTCATAGATTGCCCTTGAGGGCCTGCGCATCACCATACCGCCCGGCATATCTCCTCACATGTCGAAGCTGGTGCGTATATGCATGAACGAGGATCCGGGAAAGCGTCCGAACTTCGACATGATACTGCCGATTCTGGAGAAGATGAAACACTGAGGCGTGCGTTGAGGATAGGTGGCGCCACACATGCACAACGTATTTGCGTCGCTCTGCCGTGGACTTCACCAGGAGGTGATGGAGTCATGGCAGGAGGTGGTGGAGTCATGGCAGGAGGTGGTGGAGTCATGGCAGGAGGTGGTGGAGTCATGGCAGGAGGTGGTGGAGTCATGGCAGGAGGTGGCCGTTTAGAGAGTACTTAAAAAAGCAACTATGCAGACTGATTTGGAGTGATTCGCGTGAATAGTTGATGATGCCTTATTACGCAAAGGAGGTAGCCTGTGCCCAGGTGAGCTCGAGATTGTAACTATGCTTGCGGTTGGACTGTCGAAAAATCGTTTGTCGAATACGCGTTATGTAACGGAATGAACAGCTAAGCAGCATCAGGGCACCGTGTCGATTTTCATCAGGTCTCTTGGGGACAGCGTACGTGAGTACCAGTTAATACCAGTGAGCATTTACCGTGCATCTTGCATGGCGGTTCAAGTAGCTGGTGAAAGACAACGTGCAATTTGCCCGCTAGCCAGCTTTGCTATAAATCCGAGAATAATCGTCTGCCGTTATTGTGAGAATTTCTGTATTTAGTCGTGAAGGTCTCCCCTCTGATTTTGAAGAGGTGCTGTTTGCTCTGCCCATACGAGAATATTTCTTTTAAGGTTGGTAACCGACTGCGATCGTTAGTTGTTAGGCTACGCAATTTTCTTAGCCAGCGTTGCGTTTAAAATTTGCCGTATGTGCGTAGTAGCTGTAGCAGAAGTGGATTCCCAAAAAATGTCAGTGTAGGGTTGAAACCACCGAAGTGTATAGGATCATGTGCAAGCGCTCGGCCAATGACGGTGTGGTTGTACGCAATGACGTTCACTTGTTATTTATTCATGGGACATCTATATTTTTGTAACATTAGCCATAAGCATGCTCGTATCTTCATCATGCCTTGCTTACTGTTTTGGTGAATTATTTTATATAATACGTGCAGGGCGGGTGAATCGCATACGATAAACGTGGGGTAATTGTGGTCCTTATTGGAATTCACTTGGGGTGGTGCCCTTAATCAGCTAAAAAACAATTGATTGCTGGCTTTACTTAGAATAGGTAGACTTAATTCCTTGCCCTCCTTGCACTAAATTTCACAACACGATTTGTCATTGTCGTGTGTTATATTTTAGTGTACTTGTATAAAGAATGCTAGCTATTCTGTTGCCTTCACCTCGGCCACTGTAGATCCATTGCCAGTCCTAGTAGTTATTAATATAGCTTCTCCACTCAGGTAAAAAAAATGACGGAAAGGGGAAAGAAGATTTGGTGCTTTTCAACTTTTTAAAAGCTTTTGCAAATTTGTGTTTTATGAGTTAAGCTCGTGGAATTTTTCCTAGATGGGAATTGAGCTGCATACGTACATATAACTGTGTAATATTATTAATAATATTTTGCTAAATGATATTAGTCAGTTCAATCGAGGCTACATTGGGCTTTGTTTGAATATAATGTTAATGGCAACAGCCACGTTAGTTTAAATACGAAATCAAAAATAGCGTTTAATGATTATGACAAAGTTCTGTCAGTGTAATAAAAGTGTAATTGTACGGTCTCATAAATTCATTTACACGATAATGGTGTATCATTCTTGTCTGACTTGGCTGTCTTGCTAAGCAGTAAATGCTGCAACTAATGAATACTTGCAGCAAAAAAATAATGATAAAATATACACACAAACAATCCGTCATGTGTATCATTTGACAATAGTAATTAAAGATAAATATGTGAATTAAGATAATAGTAAGTCTAATCATGATTCGGAAATTTATGGTATACTGTGCAACGTTTACTGTACTTTTGTTTATGCCTAGAGGAGTAACGAAATTTGTAAACTAGAAAAATAATAAATATGTGTTTTTAACGGATATCTGTAGTTGATGTTCCATTTTACTTTACAATGGCACGCACACACGCACGCTCGTACGCGCGCGCAGTTCTTTACCTCGTTCAGGGTGCTTGCATGATATTTCAGCGTTGCCCACGTATACTACTGTACAGCCAAATATAAACGGCAACGATCAGGCTTGGGAATATGGTCTGTGGTGAAACTTGATGCATCTTGCTGAAAAGAACTGTGTAGTGGACCTTACCTTAATAATGCAAGGTTACTGCCTAGTATCGTTAAAATTCAATATCACGTATATTACCCCAGTAGCGTCGGACATCACTGCGCGCATGCATAATATCTGCTAAAAGAAGTAACATTTTTACAAAATTATCTACTTAAAATGTAGAGAGTAAACTGTCAAGTAGGTTAATTGCCGTAATAAATCTCGATCCTAATGCCTCACTTCATCAATAAGAAGGCGCCATAATTTTCCTACATTTCCATTCCCCGTAACGTATAGATTCAAGTAATGTTTTCTGTGCCGTTGGTCGGCGCTAGCCAAAGTCGCAATGAAAAATAGCATATTACGGCAAAAGTAGTATAGAATACATACTCGCGCGCAAAATACATCCGTCATGCCCTACTCTTTTTAGCCAGCCCCTTTCAATTCAACGTACAATTACATAGCGTATATAAATTGTAGAAATAGACCTCTTTACGCGCATGCCTTTTATCTGCCGTAAGCAATAACATTTTGTTGAAATGATATATTTAAAATAGAGAGGGCAGAGTGTCGAGTAGGATGGAGTCAAAATTCTCGACCCCCATGCCTCACTTTATTAATAAAAAAAGACGCGCTGGCTTCCCGATATCCCGATGCCCTACAACGTCGAATGATATTATATAAAATTCCGTGCGTGCTCCTGAATGGTGCATGCTAGTATCGCGCATGAATAATCGTTTGAGACGGCAAACGAAATATACACGTTTGCTTAAAACTATGCATTTAAGGTAAGGAATACATACTCACATGTAGTTTGATATGAAAACGAAAATCCTAATCTCCCACTATAATAATTATTACTGATCTATCCTTCAAAATTCAACATAACGTGACATAGCGGCAGACCACTGAGCGTGCATACCTAGTATCTGATAAACGAAGTAATAATTTAACGGATTTAATAATGTATATATTCAAAATAGAGAAGATAGACTCCCGACTAGTGAAAGATCTCAACATAACCCTCATGTCTCGCTTGATTAAAAAGAAGGCGCCCGGCCTGGATTCCCAACAGCTCGGATTCCCTACAACGTTCACGGAGATTCTGCCGTTGGTTAGCGCTAATGTCACGCATGAAAACTAGTGTATATAACGACAAACGAAATATATAGATACCATTTTGCTGAAAGTATATATATTCCTGGTAGAGAGCCTATACTTACATGTTGTTTGATATAAAAATTCCACTACTAATTCCTCATCTGAATAGTTGTAACTGCCAAGTCCCCTGCCCTCGATCGCGTCCGTGGCATTAGAGACATTTGTGCGTTTTAGCGCTCCATCACTAGCAGCAACACGCGTCTTTGACCGTGTGACGCATGTGACAAAGTTACAATATATATCAGGAGTCGATAATAGGGAATCCCCTATTATCTACTCCTGATATATATT